AGTGAGACAAAAGCAGTATCTTCTTCCTCTCTGAGTAGCATAATGGTCTTTTTGGTTGTATAAATGATATTTTGGGGACTACAAACTGTAGAAAAATGTCTGGTTGAAAATTTTGGTAAATCAGCAGCCCAAGGGCCTACAGTTTGCTACTCTGAATCGTAGTCACATCAGTTCTTTTATAAGGTTTAAGTGACTCCAGTATTTAGCCATTTTAAATTTGGATTTTTAAATCAGACAATTGAAACAATATGTTTGTGAGTAGTGTTGATTTCCCTCTGCAGCGAATGCTTCCAGGAGTGCAGCTGATGCTACTTTATCACTGTTTATGGGTTTCTTTTTCCTCCTTTGTTAATATATCCCCACACTATGACAGCAAGGTAGCTATGTGGTTTTCAGGTTTGTTGTTTCACCTGGACTGTAAAGGCATTTTTCGAAAATGGCTAGTTTCCTTGGTTTTTGCATTTATCAGCATCCTCTGATAGCCTGATATGAATCTGTTTTGATATACTAATGATTTACAAAATTAACTTCTCTTCTTTGGTTTTAAGTAGCTTCAGGGTGTCTCTGATGTAAGTTGTCATCTTGTGCAATCTGTCTACTTCGAATGTGTTTCTTTTTTTCTCATCTGGTGTTATATGAATTTAACAAAGTGCTATGTAAATATGCACATGCTTATACAAACATCTATGATACGATACTTAGTTTTGTGTTTTTACTGTGTGGCATTACAAATATCAAGTTTAGTTGAAGTTAAAGATTGATCTATGTCTAACATTTACATACAACATGCTGGAAATAAATTACATAATTTCAGTTGAAAATAACTTCAAAATTTTTCTTATAGAGTACAGGCATAGTGAAGGTATATGAGAGTTCTGTATTTGAAGAACTTTGCAGAACACTGATAAAGTACTTGCATTAGATTTCAGCACTGAATAATTATAAGAAATTTGAAAGCTATGAACAAGCATAACATCTTTGACCTTGACTGGAGTTTGGCCTTCTCTGTGGAGCGCAGAACTCAATTCTGTAGGAAGAGTTTGCTCCTCCTTGTCTTATGTTCTCATTTTATTTCTAGCTTCGTTCTCTGTTCAGATGGGGAGTCGTGTCTTGAAATTAATGCATGGTTATTATAACAAAATTGACTGAAAGCAGCTGAGAGGTTGTATGTGTACCCTTTAAATTGTGCTGTTCGGCTGTTCTTTGTCTTCTTTATTCATTCACCTTCCTTGTTTTCCAAGTAGGAAGTGTACCTAGCCAAACATACAGACACGCACAGATACCTCTGTATCTTCCAAACTAAACGTGAAACTTGCATTTAGTGGGTTGCATAATTGCAAGTACATAAAATGTACATGCAAGCCTGTACTAATTTCTGTGTCATTTCAGTGTGTCCCAATTTAATTATTATTCATAGCTTTAGAGGCCCATAATTGTTCCAGAGTGTTTGATATCCATCATAGTTTGAATTTAGAAACACAGAATTGTAAGGCAATCTTCCTCATAGATAGGATTTTGAGATATTAATAATTTTATGAATTAGAAGTGTTTGTACTGGATCTGTGGTCCTTTGTGGCTTCTGGTGTTTTCTACCTTCCATGTTTTCACCTCCTAAACCTTATTATATGACAGCTGAAGTATACTCTAAAGTATTATTTTTCATAGCAGAAACTGGCACAGCTGAGGTCAAGGGAAGTTGGTAGGTATCTTCTGTGTCAGCAAACGTAACCTGTTCCTCTGAGCACTACTGAGAAACTTTTTTCTTTGTAGCATGCTAGAATTTCTTCTGCTAACAGGTGAATATCTTATCAAGTATGTATTCTATAATGACATCTTAAAGTGTTTTTTTTTTAAATGTGGTGATTAAATGACATTTTCTTCTATGAAAATTGTAAGATCAAATTTTAATGCCTGAGTTTAACTCAGCATTCTTCTGTTCTCATCTTTTAAATTGAAACAGTACTAAAGGTATAATTTTTCTTGAATTGCTTTTCCACATATAGCATTCTTTTTGAAATCTGAAGATGTGGGTAAAAAGGGAGGACAAAAGACCATTGCTTTTTTCCAGCAGATTTTGAAATTTTAGAAGAAATTTTAAAACACTACCAGGTTGACATGTATTTGATATGTATCTGAGAATTCAAATATTTAACTGTTGTTAATTTATTCTTTTCTACAGAAAGGCACACAGCATTTGAGAGATTTAATATTATCAATCTCTTTTTCAGTCAAGCTGGTTACTATTCATCTGTATTCTGGGTGTTCTGCATACCTGGACCTCTTCATAACTGATGTAGCACTTCTGTGATCTGACTAACAACATTTACAGGCTAATCACAAGAATCACATGCACTTGAACCTTACTGTACTTTGAAAGTTTGGCCCTTCGTACCAAATAGTACATTTGATATGTGCAAACTGGCACTCTTTTGGTAATACATACATAAATACATACATAAATTTGCCTTCCAGTATCAGTTTGCACATCTAGTATGTGAAGTTTGCAGAATGACCACAGGTTAAAAGAAAGTGCATGTGCTCATGTTGCATACACTGAATTCACTGAGTGTTTCTTTAGCTTAATTCAACACTCTGTTTCTTTGTCTTTAATAGTATTGCAGTGGAGGTAAGAACTATACATCAGTGTGGTGGCTTGACCTTGGCCGGCTGCTAGACCCCAACCCAGCCGCTCTCTCACTCTCCCTCCTCAACAGGACAAAGAGAAAATAAGATGAAAAAGTTCATGAGTTGAGATAAAGGTGAGGAGATCCCTCACCAATTACTGTTACTGGCAAAACAGGCTCAACTTGGGGAAAATTAATTTGATTTATTGTCAGTTAAAAGTAGAGTAGGATGGTGAGAAACAAAGACAAAAACTAAAACACCTTGCCCCGCCACCCTCTTTCCAGGCTCAACATCTCTCCTTCACTCCCAGCCCCTCTGTATTCTCCCCCATGAGTGGTGCAGGGGATATGGGAGTGGGAGTCTGTCCACAACAGTTCCTCTCCAGAGCTCCTTCTTCCTCACGCTTTTCACCTGCTCCAGTGTGGGTCTGCTCTACGTTCTGCAGCCCTTCAGTTTAACCTGCTCAAGCATGGATCCTCCATGGGCGATAGTTCACATAAGGAGAATCTGCTCCAGTGTGGGCTCTCCGCAGGTGGCAGTTCCTTCAGGAAGTACCTACCTTGTTCTGGCGTGGGCTCCTCCATGGACTGTGCTGTAGGTATCTGCTCCAGTGTGGTTCTCTCTGTAGGCTTCAGGGAGACACCTCCTTCACCATGGCCTTCTCTGTGAGCTGCAGGGAAATCTCTGTTCCAGTGCCTGGAGCATCTCCTCCCCCCTTCTTCTTCTCTGACCTTAATATTTCCAGGGTTGTTCCTCACACTTTTTCCCCCTCACTCCTTACTGCCTGGGCAGTGTTTTGCCCTTTCTTAAACATGCTTTGACAGAAGCACCAGCAGCTTCACTGATGAGCTCAGCTATGTCCTGAAGTGGGTTGACTGGAGAGCGGCCCCAGACCTCTTTTCGCAGACACCACCCTTGCAGCTCCTCCAGTACCAAACCTTGTCACTGACACCCAGTACAGTAAGATGGAGGGAGGGAACATAAAGGGGTGAAAAACAGGTCCACAAATACAGAAATTTTTGTTTTGTTTCTTACTTTAGTTAACTTCTTTATTTCTTTTAGTATCAGTTCAACTACAATAAAGTTAATTTGTGGTTATCACTCTTCTAAACAAATGACTGGAGCAATTTTCTGAAAGACAAACTGAGTGTATTGGGAGGAGGATGTAGACTGTTTTCTCAATCTCTGAAAAACATACAGAGAGATCAGGTTTATGTTTTTAAACTCTTGAAAGATGGAAAAGGGCAAAGAGCAGTGGAGAAGAGTAATTGTTTTTTTGTCTGTGTGTATGGTGTGTAGCATGCTGAAAATACTTTTCTTACATTAAGGAGCGTATTCTTTGTGTACTTTTCCTTCTCACCCATTATTTTTTAATAATCTAATTTTAAGCATACTGCAAAAGTATTTTTATTTCCTCTTACCTATTTACTGAACAGCCTTGTTTAGATTCGGACTACAGCTGAAGTGACAAGAAGGTCTCCTGCAACTGAGATTGTGTTTTCTTTCTCATTATGGGTTATGTTCATGTCTGAAAAGTTGTCTATTTGCAACTTCTTCTCTCTACTGGTGACAAATACTGTTTGATCAAGTATTTATTTTGTAAAACATCAGGAACAACATTTACTAAATAGTGTGAAATGTTTCAGTACCTTTGTTCCCGGGTGGCAAACTGAAGGCCTTGACTGCGTGAGAACCAACCTGTGTATTTAATTTTCAGCTACTAGCAGACATTATTTGGCTGCCTGTGCTACTCTGATATTTGCCAGCCTTTGCTTTTCAGATTTTCACTATGAGATATATTTTGAGTCTTTGTGCAGTTTCTCATGTAGTTTTGCATCCTGCATTGATCTGTATTGGTGCCTGAAGCTTGAAGAAAGCTTGGATAGTTCTACAGAAGCTGTAATATTGCACTGGCTGAAGCATGGATATGCTGTAGGGCAGGCTTAACATTGCATCTTAGAAAGCATTTTTGATTTGTAATTTAGATACACATTCTGAAAACACTGTCTTAAATTTTTCTCAGTTTTATGAACTTAGAGTAAGCAGTTGATTTGGAAGGGACAAGGCTTAATTGGTCCAGAGTTTTGTTTTATCAGAAAATACAATCCAAGAAAATATGAGGCATTCTTAGTAAATAACGTGAAAATTCAGTTTCATGTACCATTTTAAAAATAGTGCATGAAAAAATTCTTTTTGTCTTGACCAGAGTTACGTTTCACTTCATAGTGTTGTAACAATGTCATTTTCTGAATGTCATATTTATTTTCTTTTTAGAGGTCATTGGCAGTTCTGAAAATTATGGTAGTTTAAAATGGAATTATAACGAGGTTTGTTAATGATGTACTAAAGCTAACCTTATATTTTATTATTTCAGTTGTTCATGGTGGACAATGGAGCAGATGACTGGAGAATAGCCATGACTTATGAGCGTATTTTCTTTATCTGCTTGGAAATACTGGTGTGTGCTATACATCCCATACCTGGGAACTATACGTTCACATGGACAGCCCGGCTCGCCTTTTCTTACACTCCATCCACAACAACAGCTGATGTGGATATTATTTTGTCTATACCAATGTTCTTAAGACTTTATCTTATTGCCAGAGTTATGCTTTTGCATAGCAAACTTTTCACTGATGCCTCATCTAGAAGCATTGGAGCATTAAATAAGATAAACTTCAATACCCGTTTTGTTATGAAGACTCTAATGACAATATGTCCAGGAACTGTACTGTTGGTTTTTAGTATCTCATTATGGATAATTGCTGCATGGACTGTCCGAGCTTGTGAAAGGTAAGGTTGTTCTGTTTGTTTAGTTCTTTCTGTCTGTCTTTCTATTTTTCTCTCTTGTTTTGCCTCTTCAGCTTTGGGACTTTCATATTTAATGGCATGGAGCTTCCATGTCCTTCATATTCTGAGTGTTTGTTGGGTTGTATACTGTGTCACAAATCGTCAGGAATGCTTTGCCTTTTAATCTGATGAACTTCTGCAGAGAGGTTAATGCCACACTGTTTACTGTAGCATAGAAATTTGATTTCAGTCTTTTGATGAAACTTAAGGTATGTTTGCTAAAACATAGTGGGCAGATACCATAAAATGTCTGTAAGAGTAGTTGTTGATATCCTACATTGATATCAGCTTTTTAAATTTTGTTTGTAAGTTAAATTTATGGAGGATAAGGTAGATGAACTAGCTATGTCAGGTTCCAATGGAAAATGCTTGGGGTTTTTTAATTTGAATTTTATTGTGCTGTAAAAAAAAATAAGGAAGTGCAAAATATTGTTGGGGATTTGTCAAGATCAAAAAAAGGGAACAGGCAGAACAATTATGATAATATAACTTTTTTCTTCCCCTAAAAATCAGAAAAAGTGCATTTGAGGGGCAGACTTTCATTCATTTCAGCTAGTTTTCCAACCTCCTCCTCCTCCCGCAGACATCAATGTGGGTGCAGAATAAACGGCTATCAGTGCTGACAGCTTGAAATTGAATTTCTCAAACAGAGCTTTAACAAAAAGAAATGAGTTGCTGATTGGGTAGGATTGCTTAGGAATATAAGATAGGTTAACTCAAAGGAGACAATTAGGATGATTCTCTACAAAAGATTTAATGCCTGGGACAGCTCTGAGATCCTGGAATGAATTTCTCCTTCCTTAAGCTGGAAGATCTTCAACATATTTAAAACAGGTTGTTGACCATTTTAATTTTCCTCTTCCTTTCCATGTCTGCCCATTTTAGAAGCAGTTTAGGGGAGTTATTTGTGACAGCTAGCTGATTTAAATCAGCCGTTAAATTTCACACCAACTGTTATGGTTATGTTACTTTTAGAAGTTACTCCTTGAATTACTTCTCAATTTGTTACGAAGAGAAATAGCTGCTCTTATAAACTGAGTGTAGAGATCATGTTGACGTTGTAGTTTTTATTGTTAAAATTGCCAGAATTATGGAATGTAGTTTGTTAAAGTAAATGCTTTGTGTCAGTGTTGTTTGCTCATGTTATGGCAAGACTAATCATTTAAGAATGTTCTGAAAATGCCGTGTTAACAGTGACATCTAGTTTCAAAATATTCCCCATAATGGGAGCAGATGGAGCACCCTAGACACCTACTCAGTCTGTAATAGTTGTATTTTAATAAGCATGTTGTTGTTTCAGTGGTAACTAAATTCTACAAAGCCTCTCCTCTTTGTCTCACATTCTTCACCTCTGTTCCCACCAGTTTTTTTTCAACAGAATTACTGCTTAGGAATTCCTGACTGTCTACTCAAGCATTTCGCAGATTGTCACTTGTGAAGTGGCTCTGAATAACTTCAGCATCCATGCTGGTCCCTGTTTTACATATCACTCGTTAATCATCATTGTTATTATTATTATTGTTATTATTATTATTGTTATTATTATTATTAAGTAGCATTAAATAGTCATTGTGTTACTAACTTTTTAATTGATGCATGTTCGAAGCTTATAAAATTTGTACCTCTCAGTGAAAATTACTGAAAAATATTAACTACAGTCTGATACACGTTTGTAAAACATTTATTTGTTGTCTCCGAAATGGCAGGACAAGAATGTATAGTGTAAAAGTAATACTGAAAGTAAAAGCAACAAAGACTACCTCAGCTGTTTTCTAGTCAGGGAGAGTGAAGACAACCCTATCACAAAGTTTTGATTTTGTGAGTTTATTTCTATTTAGAAACTGAGGCAGTTCTGCATCACCTTGATCCTGGGAAGAAGCGTATTTGTTTGGTCAGGTACATTGAACTCAGGGTTGCAAACAAGGCTGAATTTTCTTCAAATCTCTACTAAACTAGTAATGGCTTTTCCATATGTTAATTTGCAGTTACTGTCCCTGAAATGACTGCAATGGTTTGGACAGTAAGCTGGCTAGCCACTGACTCCTCTAAAACTGAAACAAAACACAGCTAAAAGCAAGTTAGATATAGAAGTGCGTATTAGATTAATATGTCTCTAGCATAATTACCCTCTGTCAGAGGAGTTGAGCCCACGATGATGTTTCTTCACATTTAACAGAATTGTTAAATTCATGTTTCAAAAACACTAAAGGGTTATGTTTTGGCTTTGGGAATTAAATACTTATGTCATTCATGCTAGCTGCACAGCCAGTTTTGTGTGTTTTGCCTCAGATTTTCCCTTGAGGGAATATGTAAGTATTTTGCCAAATGAATGATACTGGCTCTGGATAGCAGTTACTAATTAGTCCACCAAAAACATGTAGATCCATAGTCCATAGAGAAGCACATTTCTAAAAAAAGCTCTCAGAAGAAAACCCCAAAACCCCACAGATCAGAATGTTCTTAACACTGTGCCATCTGAAGCGAAACATCCCTTTTTGTGTAGCTGGAGACAGAGACAATAGCCGTTTGTCTTGGGAAAGGACAAATATGGCCACTGAATCCATTCTGTGCTGTGTAGAAGTCATAGTCCTCAGAAGATGTCTCCCGAGATCTTAATGGCTTTGATTTGCTCAGTAGTTAAAAGTTTAGTTTACACAAATAAAACACATTTCTTTCACCTGCTCTTCAGTGGTTTTTTTTTTTTTTTTTTTCAGTTTTAACTAGAGGGCATCTTTATTTGTTGGAATAGACTATTTTATGTACACAAAATGATCCTGAAAATAAATGTTATCATTAGAAGGAGTATTTGCTGTTCTGCTTGACACTATACATGAAACCGTAGTGAATTTTGATGCTTTTAGCAGAAATTAGGAATTAGACAGCAGTCTGGTGTCTTTGTTTTGGTGAGGGGGGATTTACATGAATGAAATTTGATGATGTTAAATGGTTTGCAGCATCACTCTAGCACCAAGCTCTTTAATTTATTTTGTATAGTAGCTTTACATAAATCTTTGCAGTAGTGGTTTTAGTATTTCTTCAGTGTATTAAATCATCTAGCTAGCCATCCAAATTGGAACAAGATGATGGTGGTAAGATTAAAATATTAAAATATTAAAATTTTGAAATGAAGATGAAACATTCTCATGCTGTTCCATGCCCTTGGCGAGGGGGGATGTTGCAGTAGGCAGTGTCCGTACGGTGAAGTTGTGTGTGCTCAGCAAAAGCTGTTTCTGCTGAATGACAGCCTGATTTTGAGACTGTTGTTTTACTAGAAGTCAGATTTTTCTCATTGCAGTCTTTCCTGGGAATATGAAGGGAGATTTGGAAGCACTGCATTTCATAGCGAGGAGGGTAACGTGAAAGAGCATCGTTGTTCATCTCTGTGAGGGAAACCCTATACAGACAGGCTATGGGTTGAGGCAGGGGAGCTGATCATCAGAATAAAGACTTTGCTGCTTTAATGGTCATCTGGCCATCTGATCACTTGATATACACTGAACTAAGGCAGGACATGTGTCTTTCTCAGTGCCTTAATGGCTGTATTGTTAGCTCCCAGAATGCTAATTATAGCAAGTGACGCTTTGGGTTGGTGAGCAAGGTATTTTCCAGGATTGCAGTTTAAGGTCATCCATGAGGGCAGAATGTGGTATGGATAATGATGGTGGATAGCTAGCTAAGCATAAACGGGTTGCTAGGGCTGCAGAGTGATCTGGCTGAGGGAGTCTGGGAGGAAAACGTGGGGAAAACACAGAAGTGTTGCTGTATACACAATGCCAGAAACTCTTGCTTTTTTAGTGCTTGGGTCTTTATGTCTGTATTGAGGGGAACATTACATTACATAAGTTTTAATATCTGCCTTTTCAGTGTCAGCATCCATATATTGCTGTCTGTCATAAGTGGGCTTCACAATGAATATCTAAATTTTTTATTAGGTCTAATTCAATAGATGTTTGTGTTTGTAACATCTCTGAGGAACACAATCTAGAACACTTATTAATATGTTACTTTCATATGTGAATTATGAGCTCTGTAAGCAGATTACTTTTTGCAGTCTCCAATACTGATCTTGTTACTGAAATAGCTCTGTCCATGGCCATCAGTTGTTTATAGCAGTTAAAGTACAAATATTTGGTTTCTCAAAAAAAAGAAGTTAATATGCTTAGTATTATGTCATTGAAAAGTCTGACAAATTTGCTCTACTTTTCAGTAGAAGACCTGTCTCTGCTGTGAGAAGTGTGCTGCTTTTCTAGGTTATGTAGAAGGTAGTCACTCTTGTTGATCTTTCATTTTTTCTGTGCAAAGGAAGAAGAATTTTTTCTTCTGGATGCATACATGGCTATAACACCCTCATGTATCAGGGCAACATGAGCCACATGGGCCCAGGTTACACTGTTGTAGGTCCAGAACAGCTCATGTCACATGCCCGGAGTTACTGTGGATTTACAGCAGCAGAGCTGAGAACAGAGTGGATTTTCTGCTTCCCCAGAGAGCACGTTTTTGGCATCATTTTTGGTTCTGTTTGTACCTCTCTCTAACTTCTGGCAGTGAAGTCAGTGCAGATTGAGTGGTTTGTTTCGTCAGCACTTCTTCCTCCCATCAGCTTCTGCTCTGTATTCTTTCCTTGATTTAGCAAAAACAAAACGAAAGAAACAAAAACACTGAAAAACATCTGTTTGTGTGTGAAGGTGAAATCATTTTCTGCTCTCTGCTCATTCTTGTTTTGTAGAGATAAATATTTGTCTTAATTCTTTGTCTTATTATGCCATCACAAAGCTTCCAGTAAGCAGCTCACACGTGACGACTGTTAGGCAAATGTTAAGGATTCATTTGATACAATCAGGTGGATGCACCAAGACTTTCCATTGTATTTGGTGCAGGAAGATTTTTTCTTAGGTATCTAATTGCCTTGCAGCCTATGTTTGACTTCTTTGGTTGGCTTGAGG